TGTGGTGATTTTTCAGGACAGCCCTGGTCTTGTTGTGAGTGTGATTTCTCAGCTCCAGCATAGAACACTCAACCTACCAGCACAGGTCCTTCACCCTGCTGGCATAGATTTTTCTGGCTTCCACCACTGCCTTTGGGCCTTCCCAGCACAGATCTGTAAAAGAGACTGGCATGAGTCCTTCTTGTGAGCTCTGGACCTCCAGTTGGACTCGTGGGAGGTGCTGTCATGAGTTTTGTGTTTTCATCTGGACTCATGTAGGACATTGCTGGGGAATTCAGGCCCTTGATTAAATATTCTATGTCTTTGGTGTTATGGATAGATTTCCTGCATTTTCTTGTGTTAATTCTGGGTGACCATCATAAAAATATTATAAACTCCATGTCCTGATTCTAATTGTTCTCCTCCAAGCCCTGACTACAACACTCTCCTTAAAATAAACTCTGTTTCTAATCATTTTACAGAGCCTGAAACCATACCTACTCAACACTTGAATTCCTGCTAGGGAAGAACAGCAGGTAAGAAGCTATTTAGGATTTATAATGACATTTTGGTTCATAAGAAAGGAAGAAGGTGGGTAATTGACAACCCTTCAAAAATCCCGATTTTTATTACTTTAGACTAAATAAGACAGCTTCACCCATTGCTGGAAAACTGAACTCCAATCTTTCTCCAATGCCATTATCTGATCAAATCTTTCACTAAATATCTTGATGGAGCTCAGGTAGCTTGTGTGTTCTCACTCTCTGACTCGGCACTGATTTCATACATAGGTGTGCTATTGGGAGACAGGGCCTAACTGGAGGAGGAAGGTCATGGTGGGGTGGTGGTGGTGTCTTTAGAAGGGTATAATCTTATCCTTGGCCCTTCCCCTTTGGCTTTTTCCCTTTATGGCTACTTCTCTGCATGAAATGAGCAACTTTCCTTTGCCATGATCCTACTCCAGCGATGTTTTCCTCATCTCAGGCCCAAAGAAATGGAACTACAGGACCGTGAACCAAAGCCTCAAAAACAATGCAGCAAAATAAAACTTTCCTTTCATGGCAAATTTTCTCAGGAATTCTAATCACAGTGACAGAAAGCTAACACATTTAATAATACAAAGTGTCATCCTGGGAATTTAAAGTTTTATAATGATGACCAAGAATCATTTTCATGGCAGAGACATTAAAGACAAAATTATAAGGGGTTTTTGCAAGTTTCACATTGCCCCAGATTATGGCCCTCTCTTTTTTCATCTTTCCCTCTATTCTTATTAACTTTATCTAGATCATCAAACACTAGTTGCAGGAAGGACAAAGGAATGAACATGGATTCAGTAATAGCTGAGTCCTTCCTGGCAACCTTGGGCATGACTTAACAAATAAGTCCCTGGAAAACTTCACTACTAGACAATAGGCTGGCTGGAGACAGCGGGAAGTTCTAAGTGGCAGGCTCTTCACAGACCGTTCTAAGTAGAGCAGGACCGCTGTTCTTTACCTCCCTCCCATCCTTCCCCTCACCTCTGGGAAAGACAAGCCTCCTTTTGGTTTTGTCTTTCTTCTTGACCTTGCAGTCATTCCCCTTCCACTTGTTACTAACTCCTTGTTCTCCCTGACAGACACACATGGCTCTCTCTTAACAGAAAAGCAAAATCATTTGCTAAAATATGCTACCCCTTCAATTCAGCTGTATTGTTGTCCATTCCTTCACACAGTGAGAACCGGGCATGTCAGGAAATGCATTGCACTGTGAGGCTCCTATCCTGGATTTCTCCTTAGCTGTATCTGGGGATGTGATTTATCCTGCTTCCCTCGGCTGCAACAGCAAGACAGTGACTCCTGCAAGAGACGTGAAGTCAAAATAAGATCCTGCTCTGGCGGGAGGTAGCAAAGATTTCTCTTTATTTTCTTGACTGTCCTGTTGCTGCTTATACCTTTGAGGAGACTGCCTTCTTTGCCAACGGTCTGGTCTGTGTTACGAAGGTAAACACCGCCTCTCTCTAGTCCTTGCCAGTTTCCATGATGCAGCATTACCTCGATGCAGTTGACAAAACAGCTCATAGAATTTGCCTTAAGACTCAAGTCAAAATAACCAGTGTTTTGCCCTCCATACGGAATCAGTGCTTCTTCTGAGTCCCTGCATTCTTGGGTTTGACTCTCCAGAGCTCTAAAGAACTGTATTTTGGGGGAATTCTCTTGAGTAATTTTTATTTCAGGCCTCAGGAAATGTGCTGTAGAGATTAGAGAAACAGCCTGGCCTAATCTTCAGAGTTGAATTTTATAAAGTCGCATCTGTTAATTTAGAGGTGAGTGCATCAAATGCGAGGTTGATGGAAGGTGTGTTTGGTGTCTCCTGTCTCCCCTTTTTCACTGACCTGAAGTCTGTTACTACCACTGAGTCCCTTCTTTAACTTTTTACTGGGGAGACTGAGGTAGGGGGCAGGGCAGTCACACCAGCCAAGCAGCAGCACAGTATGATAAAAACATAAGCTTCCTGACTCAGCCAAGAGCTGGATCTGCAACACCTGCAGCCTGGGGTCGTTTGTCTGTAGACAGGAGGCCAAACTATATGTTCTGTATAAACAAAGGTGTCTATGGAGCAAAGCCAGAAAATAGAGTTCTTAGGCTGACTGGCAGGTCAACAATGGGTGGAAAGAGAGACTGGAAATCTGGTTGGGATGAGAGAATGGAAAGTAAAAATAAATACAAAGTGCAGACAGACTGGTCCAGGAAGGAGCCATCTAAATGCATGTGATGGATTAGTTGGTTCATGGCTGCCAGGTCAGGGGGAGCTGTGTGTACACAACAATCACTTATTCCCTGGTTCCACCTTCTGTTGAGTGAAAGATCTGGCATATTGGACAAAAATTTTTCCAACTCTACTAAGACTCACAAGTAGGACTGAGAGGAAGGCAAGGTAGGTGGCAGGTCTCCAATCTGAAGAAGAAACAGAATAAATAGCAGAGAAGACGTATTTGAAGACCACCGACCCTGAGATAGTGTGTCTAAGTGCATACCTTAATGAACGAGGAGGCTGTAGCCCAGGAAGTTAAATACTATTTTAAAAGGCTGCCGAGTATCTGTGTAAATCACTCTGGCTCTCTTCTTTGTGTGATGAATGAGTAGTGTTCCCCTGAAATATACATCCCTAACTTTCAGAACTTGTGAATGAATGTGACTTTGTTTGGCATTAGGATCTTTGTAGATATACTCAAATTCAGATATCATACTCGAGTGGCTGGGCTTTACCCTGACATAAGGATAAGAGACACAGGCATGAAGGGAGTGGTCACATAAAGATGGAGGAAGAGATTAGAGTGATGTTTTCATAAACCAAGAAATGCCAAGGAGTGCTGAGAGCCACCAAAGCTAAGGGATCAATAGGGACAGATCCTCCCCTTTCGGCCTCCAGAAGAAACTGTCCCTGTTTACATTTTGATTCTGGACTCTAGACAACAAAATTAATTTCTTTGTTTTAAGCTATCCAGCTGTGGTATAGCCACCCTAGAACACTAATATATTAGGCCAAAATGTATGCCTGGGTAAAGTGTCCTTAGAAGTACTGCAGAGGCACATCCACGTTTACTGGTTTCCTATAGAGTCTGGATCCACAGATAGACTCACCTGTAAGCCGTAGGCTGTGGAGCCTGAGTAAATGTGGAGAGGTGACCCCAAAGCCTCGGTGATTTCTTCTGTGACCTCTTCAGCGATGGGCCCTCAGAGCCTACAATGTCACTTTATGTCCTGCTCAGATAAGATGCTCTCCTTTGAATTAAGGACATTTAGAGCAGTAGTTCTAGAGTCCGTTGGGCTATTTTACTAACAGTGCAGATTCCTGAGACCTATCCTAGGGATTTAGCTTTAGAAGGTCTGGGTGTGCCTGGAATTTGCACATCTTGACCAGCGTTCAGAATGTTCTTGCTGTGGGTGGTCTGCAGACTTTAGACAACTTTGTCCTACATGTAGATCAGCTAAAGTCTTCCAATGTGGAAGACACTGGGGACAGTGATGAAAGCAGAGGGGACCATTCTGACAGTGTTGTCACTTTGTGCTTTCCTATGAGCACCTTGTTCAATGGGATGGGCCTTACCTCAGGGCCAACAGACCCTGAGAACCCTTCCCAGTGGTATTTGAGTAGCTGTGATTGGGGCTGAGGTGCTGAAACCAGGTCACTGTGTGGTCTGCCACCAAGTTCTCTCCAGAGAAGTGCAGGGAAGATAAGGAGAAGCAGGAGCTGGCAGTGAGGAAGGCACTCTATGGGGCTCTATGGTTGCTGTATGGGGTTGCTCTATGGGGCTACACCCCCAGCTCTCTGCCATGATGCCACTTATAGCGCTGTGACCAGTTTGACCAGACATTGCTCTGCAAGTCGTTTTCTTTCCTGTGGAAGCCACTTAGCAGCATCCCTCCACATGACTATGTTATCTGTGACCAAGAAGGTATTACTTTCTCTGTTGGAAGCTTGTGCCTACCTTTGAGAGGATAAAAAGAGACAAAGAAGGAATAGTAACACTTTTCCCCACACACATTCTCTGAGTATTTCCCAGCACAGTGTCTCTCCCTGCTCTCTCAAATCCACTTCCCCACTCCAGAACAGAGACCTGGAGATCATTCCATACTACATGAGCAATAGGGGAGGATGCATCAGAGCTGCTCTGGCTGCATTTGCCGGCCACTCTGCGAAGCTGGCTGCCTACACATGCTCCCAGATGGTGCCGCAACTGAGGACTGAGATTCCCTTTTTGGATCAAGTCTTGTGGGGTGCCGTCGGAGGCTGCCGAGTGCCTGGTGTCCTTCTTGCTCATGTTCCATGCCTTCAGCTTCCCCTTGGCATAGGGACCTGAGGTGTGTCTCCTTATTTCATTAAAAAGGAAATCCAACTAAAGTGCAAAACCCACACTGGCTTGCCCCTTTCAATAGTTGCTTTGCTTCTGACCATTAGCACTTAAAATCTGTACTCTTGCCAAGATATATTTAGACCTCTACAAAGAGAATTGTGTGCTGGATTTAAAACCGATGTTTGTTTTAATTAGACATTTGTCTCACATGTCCATGGTGCTGGCAGGAGTCTCTCTAGGATTTCTCGACCAAGACATACAGTGGTAAACAAGGTAGAGAGTGTCTTATTTCTCCCATTCAGCTTGTTGACTTGAATTCTGCATGATGTGATTGTTTGTTATGTAGAGGGGGAAATTGTGTCATTGTGAAAAGCATGGACATTAAAGACAGACCTGATTTGAATCTTGACTTTATGAGTTTTGGCACCTTGATAACTCTTTCTGTACCTCAGTTTCCTCATTTCTAAAACAGGACTACTACAGGATTTATTCCACAGGGTTTTTGTGACGGTTAAATGAATTAACAATGTCAGGTGCTTGGAGTTATTCAGGGTACAACATAAGTACTGATGTATTAGCTTTATCAGTTCATGCTTTACAAGTACCAGCCATCGTTTCCTGCTTTCAAAGCCATTATCAGTTAGTAGCAGAAGTCACTATTGTCAGGGTTACAAATGATAGTTTGAACCACCAGCTCCACCTTCCATACCTGCAAAACTCTACTTAAAGAAATTCTTTTTGTGAATGTCTGCAAAACTTTTATTCTTTGTCCTAAATACTTCCTGCTCCTTTATAGATGTTCTGAGAATGCAGACTGATGATTAGTTTTATAGTAAATTTGACAAAGGTGCATCTTTTCTATCCATCCCCAAAGAGTATTGCAATTCTGTATCTTCAACCCTTATTCCTGAGTGTCCTTGAACTTGTGCCTGGGTATGGGGGGTGGTGCTGGTTATGGCGAGGATTCAATGACATTCTGCTCATAAAGTACTAGCTGAATATTTTGGACACTGCATGGTGTTCCCATTCTTTGATTTTCTGACCTGTTTACCAAGCTTGTCTAGCAATACAATTGGGTCAGACCTACTCTTGTTGGCCCATCATGAGGATACCACAAAGAGGCTATTGTTTTACAAACTTCGTTAGTGAGGAAGGAGGAAGGAAATGCATAGCTATGATCTCACAGCTAAAATTAGACCACTGAGATTAAGAAACATTTTGACTTGTAGTCCATGTTGCTAACTGTATCCTTGGATGGTGAAGTGTTTTTTTTTTTTTTTGTTGTTTGTTTGTTTTTTGCTAATTCTTTGATCAGAGAAGTTATCGTGTTGGGTGGCAGGGTGGTACCTTATAATGGTGCCCAGTGACCTGGCTGGTGTCTGAACTAGGAGAATCATTTTGATCCTATGGCTGTTTACCAAAGAGTCACAATAAATGAAATTTACTCTGTAGCCACTGGGTCTATACCAGAACTAAATTTGGCTGGGTTTGGAGAGTTCACAGGCAAAGCTTGTCAAAATAAGTGGACATTCAGTTCTAGCTGGTCTCTGAAAAGTCCAGGGGCTCTGAGAAGGAAGTGCTCCATCCCTACTGCCAGGTCTCCAGCTGTCAAGGAAGGTGGTGGGTTTACTAGGACAGTCACCTAAAATCAACACTGCTTAGCTCTGGCTTTAAAATGCCATCCTCTACAGTATTTCTTTTTCAGTGGCTAATTACCAATGCACTAAATCAATTATTTGCAGATACCCCACTCCTGAGAACCTAGTTTCTACAGAGCACTTATTCTAAAGCTGTATTTTTTTTTTTTTTTTGCCACTTTCTCTCTCACAGAAATTTACTCTGACTCCTCTATTAGGAAAATTTGTCCCTTAAAATATAGCTCATAGAACTTCCATGTGGACCAAGAATGATCCTTTAAGAAAGAACAATCAGAGGACTCATTATATAAACACTGCAGTTCCCCTACCACCAGACAATGAGTAGATTTCCTGTCATCTGACCTTTGGCATATCTTGGCACTGTTATTGGACAGCTGGGATCCCTTCATTCAAAGGGAGAGTTTTGAGAGTTTTCTGTTTCTTCCTGTTACAAACTTGATTGGTTACCTGCTTCCTATTGTTCTCTGCTCTTGGGGAGTGCCTTTGCATAGGGCCCAAACCAGACTTCCAATCCCCTAGAATTTAAGCCAAGGAGCCCCCTCAGAGCCAAATAGCTCTTCTTTTCTCTGATGGCAAAACTCTGGCCTTTCTTTGTGAAAATATATGACTCTCACACAGATGCTAGAAAATTACTATTTAGGCAAAGAAATTGGTCGACTCAGAAAACAATTGGTTATAGTTTGAGGAGGTCTGTCTGTACTTTTGTGCTTGTTGAAGCCTGAGCTAAGGACTATGTGGTAATCTTCCCAAAAGTCCAAAGAAGTGTTGTAACTTCTAGACAGACCAGTAGGCAAGAAAACATATTGCTTATGAAGTACTCCATTTCTCTTGCCATAATGAGGTAACTGAGGCTAGATACTCTTTTTTTTTGCCAAATTTTTTTTATTTAAGGAGAAAAAGGAAAAAAAATACAGGAAAAGGGTACAAGTAATATAAAATTTAACAAATAAACAGAAATCACTAGTTATTAAATTACATATTCTCATCTTAGAAATAGTTGTTCAAGTTACAAAATTGAAGCACATAAAGTGGACTTTCAAACAGTGAGAGTGCAAACAGTTTTGTTCAATAATCCAAAAAACACTCAATAATATGGTTATCTATCTTATACACTTAAACATATATGCAGTTATAACCTTTAGAACACTTTCTTTTCTTTTTTTTTTTTTTTTTGTAGAATGACAATTACATATTTTGGGTTTTATTACTCCTACAGTTCTTATTACTTTTTTTGAAGAGAGTAAAACCAAATGTGACATATCAGAACAGAGTCAGTCAAATCAAAAGGATGGACATAATAGATAATGTAAAAACAAAATATAAGGTGATCAACAATGGTTACCATACTGCCTCTTGTTATTTCAAGAAGAATTAGCAGTTATAATAAAATTGAACTAATCAGGAAAGAATAAAACCAAAGCATTGGAGACATTACAGGACTTTAAAAGAAAATAATAGTCAATCAGAATGGGTGTCATAATGATTCTTATTGTCTTCACAGTTATGCCTTTACTTTCAATCTTGGTACTATCAAATGATAGGATTATTTCCAGAAGATGAAAAATATTTCCAAAAGATGAGGAGTATAAAATAAGAGGCCTTTATTCTGGGAACACAGGGAGAGAGGACTGGCGTGCTGGCCGCTGGAATCTGGTGATCTCTCTCACGTGGACATGTGGCGTGGGGGAATATAAGTAGCCTATGCTTAGGGCAGTGCCCTAAGGCCATTAGAGATGCACAGGTATTTCATTGGCACACGTTTGGCGCCAGGGGCAGGTTCTGAAGGGTGGGGGGTATAGGGTTACAGGTAAATCTCTAGGGGTGGGGGAGACAGGAGCTCCCTAATTCTGGCTGAGGCTTTTTCTGGCTACAGTATCTGGTCTGGGTCAACAAGCCTTTCATATCCCGTCTTATGATTAGTAGGAAAAGGGGCAAAGATTTCTCTCTTTAACTACTTCCTGCTGGCAGGGGGCACTATACTGGAGCCTAGGGGAGTGGATGGAATGAAGGTTGATGCCCAGGTAGATGCTGACACCAGGTGTTTTAGCCAGGACAACTTCACTGGTGAATGAACGTATGTTAGACTGGAAAAACAAAGAGACATTATGTTATTAGGAGACATGGCACTGTCATAGTTAAGGACCCAGGTGAGGTAGAGAGGAAGGTGCCTTTGATTTAGACATGGTATTTTATCAGGATGACGTTGAGGTAGGATCATTATCATGGTGAGGTAGAATTCTGAAAAATAAGTGTGAGGTTAGAAGGAGTGAAATTATGAGAGATGATTACTCCCCCATCTGAAGGCATAAAAGTTAGGAGGGTAAGTGTGTAAAACTTGTCTCCGGTCTAGGAGTTGAGCTGGAAAAAATAGAGGGAGTAGGGGAGACGGTGGCTGTACCAGTATAAGGAAGGTAAGGGCACTCCTTCTAATTCAAATCACAGTTTCCAGTGGCATGGGTCCAGCTTCTGTGCTGAGACCTTATCTGTGCCTGCTGTCTCACCAGGATTGCGTTTCCAGATGGTTTGTCTTAGTTTAGTTCGTTCCTGGGTCAGCAAAGAATATCCTCCCTTGCCTGGGACTTCCTGTCCAGCATCATTCCTAGATTTCAAGTGCGGTTTCTCCGAGAGTCTCAGAGCTGCTGCTATCTATCCGCCATGTTCTTCCGGAAGTCCTTGAGGCTAGATACTTTAAAAGGAAAGGAAGACTATTTAGCTCACGGTTACGGAGGCAGAAAGTTCATATACTATGAGCTGGCTCTGTTGAGACTTCCCTGGCCTCAATATCTCATCATGGAAGATAGATATCTATCTATCATCTGATAGATAGATAGATAGATAGATAGATAGATAGATAGTCTATCACATAGAAAGACAGGAAGACAAAGTGAAAGGAAGAACCAATTTTGCTCTTCTCTTTTTTAAAATAACAATTCATTCTTAAGAGAACAATTTGGGGCCCCAGGAGAATTACTTAATTCCATTTGGGGGCAGAGACTCCCAGTGACCTTCAGCTGGGGTCCACCTTTTAGGGTTCCCTCCAGCTCATCCCCACCACTAACACATGAACCACACACACACCCCAGCAGTGGACATACTTTCTTGTGCAGGAACCAGAAAATGAATTCTGAACACTTCTGCATCTATTCTAAGCTTCAGAGAATGTTTTGTGTTGAACTTCTTTGTAGTTCTTTGATAAATGAAGAGGTATGACATGACTGAAAGCAAGAGACACAGATCATCTTTGTGTCTGTGTTTAAATTTATGTGTTAAAAATTTTTAATCAGGAAGAAATTGCCCTAGGGAAATTGTTCCCAGTGAGAGCTGAGAATTTCCTGATTCAGAGTCTGTATTAAGCTGATAGCTGCCAAAAGAATGATTGTATTTGATTTCAGTTTATTCAAGAACTTCCTAAGGAAGTTGAAATATTTTCCTCCCCAACTTTTGTACAGGTAGGGAAAAGTCTAACTGAGAAAAAGATAAATGTACATTAATGCTTATGAAAAACATTCTTGGATCAATACCTTCTATGGTTAGAACACAATTAAGGAACTATTCTAAAGAGTGGTGGTTAAGCAGAAAATTTCAGAACATTAAACTATATGAAAATCTGAGGATTAGTTAAACTTACTAGGGAAACCCTGGTGTAGAAATAAAATCAGTATAGACCAGAAGTGAGCAGCTTCTCTGTAAGGCACCACTAGATGATACTAAATATTTCGGACTTTAGGGTCATAGAGTCTGTTAAAACTGTTTTACTCTACTATGGCAACAAGAGCATAGCCATAAATAATTTGTTAAAGAGCTAACATGGCTGGGTTCCAGTAAGATTTTATTTGTGGACTCTGAAATTTAAATCTTTATATAATTTTCATGGATCACAAAATAGAATTCCTCTCTTATCTTTGTTAATCATCTAAACCTATAATAACCATTCTCTCCTTATCGGCTACATAAAGCAGGCAGTGGGCTGTGTGGGAGTTGGGGTGGTCATGTGTCAACCCTGGGATGACAATAAACTGACTAAAAGCAATATTAACCACCAGACTTCAAGACCCCAAGGTGGAAATTCTTCTTGAGAAACATGTGCTGTAATTGAGCCTATAAAGTACATATTGTGTGAAAACAGCATTTAAATGTAAAAGCCAAAATTCACCACTTATCACATTCCATCCTCCCTCTCTCCCTCTCCCTCTGTCTCTGTCTCTGTCTCTCTCTCTGTCTCTCTGTCTCTCTCTCTCTCTCTCTCTCTCTCACACACACACACATGCACACACACACACACACACACACACACACACACACACACACACACAGATGCATACTGCTTGAAACTATGGGCAATCTTCTATAGTAGTGCAGTGGTTCTCAAAATGTGGCCCAGAAGCAACATCTCTTGGGAACTTTTTAAAATTTCATATCCTCAGAATTTACCAGAGATTCTGTTGGATTATAAACTCCAAGGCATTGGAGCATAGCAACCTGTATTTGAATAAATCTTCTGGTTGATTCTCATGAACTCTGAAGTTTGAAAACCACTGATTATAGGAACGAGTAGAATGGCTCAGATGGGGGTGTTAACTGAGTTGGAGTCTCATTTCAGCCTGAAGATCCTAAGCATCATCAAAAAAGCAGGGGTGAGAGGAATATAGGGAAAAGATACCACTATAAATTGCCCACAGTCACTCTGCTTTATAAAGGAGGTATTACTCTTCAAATAAAAATATATTCTCTAATGAAGGGGTGCACAACAGAGGAAAAAAACTACTTTTAGGCAGTACAGAAGACTGTTTTATAAATTATAAAAATTCAATTTTTTTTTTGGAAATGATTCTCCATAGGTGCTGGTATTACTTAGACACAGTAAAGTTAAAGTTACTTTTTCATCCTGGAAATTTCCTATTTAAATCACTTGTATTACACTTGCCAGAGAAGACCATTAGTGGGAACATAAACAAATATTTTTAGATGTACAATATACAAGGGTGGCAGTGTTTAAAGAAATATCTGTTTTGGATTTATATACCTACAATCCACATAGGGACAATTAAGTATTGTTTTCAGAGGTATTTATTGTTAATTAGCCCTGAGAGTTATGCTTTTGTTTTGGATTAGTAGGTAAAAGCAGTTCTTATCTAGAAAGAGCTAAAAATATAGCAGAGACAGTGTTGTGTGTTGAGAACAGGATTGAGGCAGGGCTGCTTAATACCTATGAACTCATAACATTCATATGTAAATAACTAGCAAATGTTCTATTAGGCAGAATTTTATTTCATGATGATGGTTAGGTGGTGGAAACATTGTTGGGGTTACACTGTGTGACATTTTGAGCTTAGTGGAACATATTATCTTGGGTATGGGTGTGGTTTTTCAGATAAATCATATTAAAAGATATATCTACATCTATATCTGTATTTATCTATATCAATATTTTCTAGACCTTTTCATGACATTGGCCACAGGAAGAGAAAAAGAGAAGGGAAACACTGAATTTTTTGGAAGTTATGTACCTAGACTGCCTTCACCATCCTAGAGATACTTACTCAGCTAGGTAGAGCCCAGAGTGATGGGAAAAGTTAAACATACTGAGTTTGATAGGCAGGAAAGGGGAAAATCTAGAAGATGGAGAAACAGAGAAGAAGGAAGAGTGCTCTGTTCAAAAGAAAGGCTCCTGGAGTGTGAAAAACCTCTCACATTTGTAGAGAGATAGAAACACTTGGAAAAGGAGGTGTCTCATGCCTAATTTGATAGAAACTGACAATATTACTTTTCTCTCATTGCTAAGAGGAAAGGTTTATTTAGCTCAGTTTGTAGAGGCTTCAATCTATAGTCAGCTGGTTCCAAAGCAAGGTGGTATGGCAGAGACAACAGTGCATGGTAGCAGAAGACAACAAAAACAAGCAAGAGAGAGAGAGGAGGGGACAAGCCTCTTTCTGTCCCTTGTAGTATATGTAGCCTGCTGGCCCTAGGGTCGGTGTAGCACTCATACTCTTAATTGTAGCACCCATAATCCCAACATTGAACCATAGATCAGTCACAAACTAGATTCAGCCACCCTGAAAAGTCTGCTCCCCATGACTGCGTGAGGCTTTGGGGGAACACCTAAACACAAACCATAACAGTTGGTTTCAATCAAAAGCTGTTGGGTGAAATCCTGGGAAGGAAATCACAGAGAAGAGCCAGGTTCCAGGTCTTGGGTTACAGCTGCTGTGGAACAGGAAAGCTGTGTGAGGAGACAAAAATGAACAGAATGGGAATGCCAAGTGAGAGGGTCCTTGGAGATTTCAGCTCCTGGAAAATTGCTGGAATTGTGACTTGCCTGCAGAATTGAAAACAGAAAAGGTAAGGAAATTGTATTTTGGTCTTAAGCAACAGTAGCCTCAGTGGATCCGGAATGGCATTGATATCTACAATGCTGAGAAAATCACAGTAGAAAACATGTGAATTGTGGCATGTAGAATTTGGTTGGCACTTAGAAGATCCTCAACAGTTGGTAACCATGATTAGTGTAGTGGTTCTTGTTGAATACAGTACTGTTATTTTTTAAGTAGCCACATTTGTCTATTTTGAAGTCTCTTCCTTCCTTTCTTCCTTCATTTTTTCCTGCCTCCCTTCACTCCTTCTTTTGTTCCCATTCTTTTTTCACTCATGGTACTGGGGACTGAACTCAGAGCTTTTACACTAAGCTACATCCTCAGCCTTTTTAAGTATTGTTTTCTTTTGATATAGGGTCTAAGTCATTATAATGCCCATGCTGAGCTTGAACTCATGACCCTTTTGCCTCAGCCTCCCAGAGTGCTGGTATTACAGGAGTGTGCCACTATGCCCACCTCCATTTTTTTAAATGAAGATTTTGATAGAAAAATCCTGTGTTTCTTAGTTAATTATGATTGCAGAGGTCTTGTTGGATTGGGACACAGTCATAACCTGGAAAGGCCACTCATCTGGCAGCAGATGAGACCATAGAGGAAATCATTCTGTCACTTATGCTGGGATTCAGAAAGGCCAATAGAATTTCAATAAAGTTCCCACAAGCTGTGGGGCACAGTTCTGTCAAGAATGATTTATACATTTTTAGAGGATTATAAGAAAGAATCACCAAAACTCACAGCACACCAAAGAATGTTTGATATTGTATTTGAGCAACAGAGCCTGAAATATTTACTATCTGACTCTTTACAGAGAGTTTTCCAAATTTTAATTTAGTCTGTGGTGGCCACTGGATCCCATGGTTGGGAAAGGAAAGAGCTTGTGTGTGTGTGTGTGTGTGTGTGTGTGTGTGTGTGTGTGTGTGTGTGTGAATACCTTAATCAGCTGCAACCCCAGGCATATACCTTGTGTTTGGTTCTAGGAAAGGGTAGGAGATCACATTATTTTTGTCTTTTGTCATGGTCCACAAAGAGGATTCAGAAAGGAGGAAGCTCAGATGACAGGTCTAAGGCTGGGAGATGCTACTACTACAGATAAACTAGGACTTCCTCTGCCCCCAGATACCCTAGGAGGGAGCTCTGGCAATGATGATTAGCTCAGCCTGTGCAGCAGGAGTGGGGCACCCTGGGGACCAGGTTATAGTCCAGGTAAAGGATTGAGAAATGGGAAATGGGACACAGATCTGAGTGTGGGAGAGAATTCTGAAGAGTGTCAGAATCTAGGAGGCCTTGGCCAGCTGAGCCAGCAGATTCCACAGGATGGGCCAAGGGCGCATGCTGCTTCCTAAGGGAGCTTGAGTTTCAGGTCAGTATGATCCCCCAATATGATGCACAGGGCACCAGCAAGTGACTTCTGCTCTGCCTCCAGTCTGAGCTCTTGGTTCGTGATTCCATATTCATTTTGCCTCTCCAAGCTACTGGGAAAAAAGAGAGAACACTTTTCTCCAGGGTTGTTCCTTCGCCTGCCACCTTTGTTTAGACAAAATCAGGTGTGTTTCCAAGTGCCACATTCAGTATGACTGAGTTCAGAACAGGATAGAAATGAGCTCTGGAAACTAGAATTCACATTAAATGCTTTGTTTTTAACCACTATTCTCCACTCCTCATCCTTGTTTTGTTTTGGCACTGCAGACATTTTTATAGTGTAGGGCTTCAAGAGAGGTACAATCTTTTCAAAGGAAAAATCCTACAGCTTGCCTAGTCCAATGCTAAGCTCCAAAATATGCATGGATCTGGTGGCTATACTAACTCAGCAGGTGCTGCCTGCTCTAAGCCACTTTAGAAAGTCACAGTATGTCCCCTGGATAAGCTCACAATCTCTAGATAAATGCCTACCCTGGAATCCTTTCTGATGGGGATTTGTCAGAAATGATAGGGGCTGCGTGGCTGTCATGGTCAGGTGGTCCTTAACAGGGTGGAAAGATGCTGGAGCCATACATGGGTGGGGCTACCTCTGGAGATGCCCACTCACTGCCACAGTCCACAGGATTATTGGTTATTATTTCCTTGGAATTTTCCAGAATAAGAGAGGTCAAGTTAGGGGAAGATTTTTTAAGCTTTCCAATGAAAGGGACTTTGTCTATTTTATTCCCAGATGAATTTCCACCATTCATAACAATGTGTGCCTTGTAGGAAGATGCTCAACTATCTGTTGCTGTTGGCCATGTTGGAAACTGTATTTTTAAAAAAAAAGGAAACCTGCTCATTTTACAAAGGAGTGAGTCACAACCAGACAGCGGTGAGTTCAACAATTTATTCTGTAAATTCTAAACTCAGCCACTCCATTCTGTGAAGCCCTTGCTGCATGGTCAGCTCCCCAAATAGAGACAGAGGAATGGAATAGATTCAGGTAGCTACACTCCAGATGGTAAAATGAATCAAAAACCCCTGTTCTAGCCGATTTACTTCTCCGCTTTGAATCTACAACACCCTGGCTTGAGCTGCAGGCTCATCCCCACTGTGTTGCTCCTAGGATGTAGCTGAGTAGACTATAGTGTAATATCTTAGAAGTCACAGGGATGGATATTCAAATCCTGATTCAATCACTTCCTACTTGTAGGCCCGTAGGCATGTTACTTTAAGGCTCTCAGCCTCTCAGGTTTTGAGGTGCAACATGAATATACCACCATATTTCTCAGCGTGTTGTTATGAGGATAAAATTAAATGATATGCATGGTTTTTAGATTCCATTTATCATGTACAAAGCCTCCTAGAGAAGTGTCTGGATCAGAGTAGCAGTTAATAGATTTTAGTATTATTGATGGGATTGTTTTCTTTTCTTGGAATGTTTCCTGTACCACAACTTAACTCCCCATTCATTCTGTAAAATTTAGCACAGCTCTACAACATTCTTTTAGAATGATATAGTGCCCTCTCAGGAGAGCCTGTCCTGTGTTTTCCTTGTAACCTGTGCACATATCTGTCTGTGTATAACTGTCTATTCCAATATCTATCTCTTCTCCAATCTGAGAGCTCCTTAAAGCCAGGGTACCGTTTTACTTATCCCCTTCCTTCCAAGTTTATTCAATTTTGATCGAGCTAGGAGTTAAAGTGCTTGCTGGGAAGGTACTGTTGCATCATTTAAGGAATAAAGTATGGTCACAGATAACAGGGATTGAGTTCAAGGAAAAAGAGAATTGCAATAAACCCTGAGAATTCAAAAGACGAGAAGGGAGAATTAGGCAAGAAGAAAAGAAACTATAGTTTCATTATATAGTTTGAATATTTGAATCCATTCCAAACTCATATGTGAAAACCTAACTCTCAGTGTGGAGACTTTTGGAGGTGATTTGGTGGTGAAAACAGAGCTTATGGGAATGAGATTTGTGCCGTGATGAAAGAGATCCTAGAAAGTTAGCTCTCCCTTTCTACTATGTGAAGATTCATCTGTGAACCACAGTGAGCCACATCTGACACTGACTCTCTTGGTATGTTGGTGCTGGATTTCTCATTTTATAGAACTATGAGAAATAAATTTCTATTACTTATCAGCTATGGCATTTCATTGTAATATCCCAAGTTAGTCGAAAGCATTATTATATTACCTATCATTTACTTTGAAGCAATGCTATTTAACCAATATGTTGAAGCATAGTTAAATTTGTTTAATTGATAAATTACCCAAACCATACTTAAACTTAATGTTCATAGTTTCCTAATCCCGTAGGTGTATTTAGGGGGTAGTTCTATTATATTAAAGAGCTGATACTAACACTTCATTTATATTTGTTACCTATAAATTCCACAAGGTTTGTCTGATAGCACCCTAGGCATTAGATTTTATTTTTTTCATTGGTGGAATGAGGGATATTTGTTGGATTCATCAGAAAAGTTGAGCAGGTATCCCTGCCCTTGCATGAACAGAAATTAGCAGCTCATATGCTTTGGAATGGTTCCCAGGTCTTAGAACTCCACTAGAATCTGTGTCCATCTGCCTAAGGAGAATTCTGTCTTTTGACCAATTAACTGACTCTAGCTGTTAGCTCCTTGTCACATCTGCTTCTAGTGAAAGCACAGGAAGCCGGGCAAACCAGAGGTCTGATGTTTTCTGAGCTTATAAACCAGGTGGTCTGATGTTTTCTGAGCTTATAAACCAAGTGGTCTGATGTTTTGTTTCCACTAATTGACAAAAATCTCTGGGTGTCAGATTTCAGTCTGATATTTCCTTTCCTTGCAGTAAGCCACCTGCTGAGAGGTGAAGGAGAGAAGATTATAGCCCTCATTGTCTCATAGTTGAAGGATGCCAGAAAGCTATGAACCTACTACTGTAACAGTGAAGGACCGTTGGTGCAGGTCAGTAGGAAGGACTAGGCTTAGAAAGCAGTGAAACAATGATTGTGGAGAAGCAAAGGTGTGTTGGAAAGACCCAAAGGAGATTAGAATCAGCAAGATTTGGTGGCTAATTGAATATGGTATCAATCCAGTGGGCATGTAAAACAAAACAAAACAAAACAAAACAAAGCAAAGCAAACACACAAGCCCATACGTACATAGAGACAAATGAGTTTGCAAAGTGGATTCCCACAGCCAAATGGTTTTTCACAGCACCTCAGAGAGATGAAACTGGGAGTTATTTGAAACAGAAGGAGCCAGATGTGGTGGTGTACATTTGTAATCCCAGGACTCAGGAAGCAGAGGCAGGAAGATCGCTGTGAATTTGACGCCAGCCTGGGCTACACAGTGAGTTCAAGGCCAGTCTGAACTACACAGAAAGATCCTGTCTAACAAACAAGATAAAAGGTAAAAGAAGAGATAAACAGAAAGAGCTTTAAAAAAAGTATCAATGATGTGCTCAAAGACACTGAGCTAGGAAATTATAGTGCCGAGATCCATACAGAGGTTTTCAGAATCAAGCCAATGTCTCTTTCCATTATATTTTCTACACTCAAAGATTTTAAAGCTGGGAGAAGTAGAGAGATTGGGACAGAGAACAAAGAGAATGAGAGAAAGGGAAAGAGGAGCCCCGGAAAGAGCAAATTATGAAAGGTGGTGGATAGTTCTTCCTTCACTTGTAAGTGTGTGAATCTACATATCTGTGGACTTGCTATCTCCTTAAAGGTGCGTTCTTTTACCTCATGTGATTGCTGACAGCTCATGTGACGGATGCATGGCTTCTCTGCCCAATGAGCACTAGCCGCTTCAGGCTCTTTCCTAAACTCAAGGACATTTCTTCCCTGGAGTCCAAGAACTCCTTACAGTTCATGCTCCAGACTGCAAACTCCTTGTGCCCTGTGTTTTATTTGGGGCTCTTTGTTTTGTATGCAAACTGACCCAGGAAACAAAAGTGGACACCCTCTTTAGAACTTAGGTTGGGAAAATGGATTTTCTGTGCACCAAGGATAAAGAAGACCAAAGCCATAGAATACATTTTCTTTGTATTTGTCCCTGGTACTTGCTGAATCTTCAGGGTGTGGTACAAAACACCATTTATGGTCATTCAAAGCTGCTTTGTTGAACAGTCTCAGTATCTTCTCACCATTTTGAAAACTAAGCCAATAAATAAGATAGCTATCACTGTAATTTTGATGTCCAAAACAATAACACAAAGATGCCTAGCTTTGCTTCTTCTTTGTTAACACTTTAATTTGACAGGTGCTCCTGGGGATTTCTTTTTTTCTTTTCTTTTTTTTTTTTTTTTTTGTATTTTTACTGGTACCAGGGGTCGAACTCACGACTGCCTGCTTGCAAGGCAGGCACTTATGCCGCTGAGCTAAGTCCCCAGCCCCTAAGAATGCAGATTCCTGGGTCTGGCCCTGCTTGGTCTTGATTTTGCAGATGGAAAAGAGGGACAGTGCTTCCTCCAGAGAGTTGGCTGTATTTATGTTTAACAAGCTTTTGCTTTTTTGTTCTAGAACAGGCTAAAGACTTGATTGAAGACAGATCTTTCCTTTTGCTCTTTGCCAATGTCCATGTGGTCTTGTTCAATTGGAGCCACCCTCAGAGCACTAAAAAGTTGCCTTGGGGCTTAGGCTAGCCTTGCTCTCCACCGGTGCATCTCTATCTAATGCTTCCATTTGGCTTCAGCCTTCTGTTTCTCAGTTGACCTTGACAGATTTAGAGGAGTGCGAGCCTAGGGGACCACCTGACTGGGCACGGGCTCTGGGTAAGGGGCTGAGGTCCAAAGTATGGTCTGGTCTCAGAAAGTAGCTCTAAATAGAGAAAATGATCAGGGACTTGTCTTGGTTACTTTTCCCTTGTTGTTGAGACAAAATACCTGACGCCCAAAGGGAAGCAAGGAAAGGTTTATTTAGCTTACAGTTTTTTGGAAGTTTTAGTCCATACTCAGCTAGCTCTAAGGCAGGATGGCATGGCTGAAGGGCAACCATTCATGGCAGCCACAAGCAACAAGGGCAAAAGAGGGGAAAGCACGACTCCTTCCTTCCCTTGTAATGTATGCAGGCTCTCACCCCGGTGGGTGCAGCGCTCACACCACCAATCCCAGCACTAGACAACGAACCAATCACAAACACTAGATTCAGCCACTTCCATGACTGCATGAGACTTGGGGGGCCACCCAGACATAAGCCATAACAGGGACAGACTTGAGTTAGGAAATTTCTAGGCTTATCTGAGGGGTGCTGGTAGAAAGTGATAAAAAGCTTGATTACATTTTACTTATTTATCTTGGTTTCTGTTTTTTGAGGAATAAAAAGTGGTCTGAGAAAAGAATTGGAGAGGTACAAACTATATTATTCTTTCTTTCTTTTTAATTTTAATTTTTATTAGTAGATGTTTGCAGTACATAATGACTACATTCTTTCTAGGGAATTCGTACATGTACATAAAACATCTCAATTCTTTTTCTCCCCTTATCTCTACTCTGTCTTTTATTTTGTCATTATCAGATTCATTTATTTATCTTATGAGTTATTATAAAGTTAATTGTCACATTTGCTGATCGACAACAACTTTCTTCATTAGATGGATTCCTAAGTATTTCATTTCTTTGTTACAATTGTGAAAGCTGTTATTTCCCTAATTTCTCCCTCAGTGAGTTTGTAGGAATACAATTGATTTTTTAAATTAATTAAGTCTGTTGATACATTTTAGGTATACATAATGATCACATTCATTACAAGGAATTTGTACCTTTTCATGATAAAACTTGATTCACTTTTTCCCATTCCCCCACCTTCTCTTTAATCCCTCCTACCTCCTTATTTACAAAAGCTTTGTTTTCATTTTTTCCATTTTTTCCCATAATTATTTTTTCCTTCCTTCCCTTTTCCCTCCCCCCTC